AGCCAGGCTGCCACTAGCAGAACAGCTTAATTAAGGTGGCAGGGATGATCAGTCCCAGGCACCTCAGGGGCTATGTGAGTTGGCTGCTAGCACAGAGGAAGGCAGTAATGACACACAGAGTGCCACTGAGATGCTGTGCTCATCAAAGACTTCACACCTACTATCTGGCAGATTTGTGGTTCCTCATTATCCCAAACCCTGAGAGCTGTGCCCCAGGGGTACCCAAATTCCTCCTGAGTGGGTATTTTCACCCAGCAGTCTCTCCACAGGTAGCACTTACGGGGGAACATTTCTAAGCCTGGATGCTCCTCAAGCCATGATGAGGTCTGGGGGGCTGCTGACGCAGAAGAGTGTGGATACCCAGGGGATGCTCCTTCCCACCTGGAGGCTGTTTGCCAGGTCACAGGCCTGAGCTCACCCTCTTGACCCTCCACTCCCAGGACTGCTATCCCTGCCTGCACTTGACCTAGCAGACGCACTCTCTGCCCTCATCTGCCTGCAAACATTGCAGCTAAATCCACTGCTATTATTCTCATTGTCACAGCCTCCCTGTGCGCAGCAGCCAGGCAGGATCCCTTCCTGAACACTTCGCAGGCGTGTAGCAGATGGTGCCTGTCACTGAAAGCAAATAAATGCTTTGGTGCCCTGATTTATCTACAAAAAACACCACCTAAATTATTGAGGAGAGGAGGCACAGTTAAGAAACACCTTAGTGGATTTGCACTGGGTGGTTACAGGCACTGAGCACACATAGAGTTCACGCTTTTACAGAGGGCATGTTAAGTCACTATCAATAGCTAATAAGATTTGCATGGATGCATTTAAAAAATAATTTAAAAAATAAACAGAGAAGGCAGATGGGTTTCATGAAGTTGTCACAAGGATCATTCTAAGACATGTTGAAAATGCTAAATATTAAGAAAAAAAATATAAATGTGAAACTTGGAGCCTTCACCTGAGCTTCCCGAAGCCAGTGACAAAGCTCCTGTCACCTCCCTGCAAGAAGAGGGCTGCAAGCATGCAACTAGAAATGGGCCACCCAGGGCCAAATGGCTTCCTTTTGCTCCCTGGATATAAACCCAGATTACCTCCCTTCTGCACAGCAGATTAGTAAATGAAAGCCAAGTCTTGCTGCTAGATTCAAAGCTTCCCAGTGGCTTGGGCTCACCCTTTCATTTTCTCCATCCATCCATCCATCCATCCTCCTAATGGTTCTCAGCACTGCCTTCACACCTGGCACCAGCAGGGCAGGGGGTACCTGTGCACACCCATCTCCTCCTGCAAAGCACAGCCCAATAGTGAGGGAGCTCCAGGAGCTGGAGGTTTATTTAAACAAAGCCAGCAGGGGCACCCAATGTTGCTGGTGACAGCTAGCCCCAGCAGCTGGTGACAGAGGTAGGACCCTATCTGCCAGCCATATGTCATAATAAGCACTGTGTGGTACATCACAGGGAACATTGTGCCCAGGTGGAGTAGGATGGTTATTATTTTAAGCATCTTGGGCCAGTGAAGCATGAATTTCAATTGGGTAATTTGTCATGGGAATAACATCCACACTGAGCGTGGTGAGACACTGGAACAGGTTGCCCAGGGAAGCTGTGGATGTGTCCATCCATGGAAGTGCTCAAGGCCAGGCTGGATGGGGCTTGGAGCAACCTGATCTAGTAGAAGGTGTCCCTCCCCAAGCAGGGGATGAGCTTTAAGGTCCCTTCCAACCCAATCCATTCTATGATTCTGTGATATGATGACCAGGAGGGTGACCAGTCCTTACCACAAAACACAGCTGTGCCCCAATCCTGTACAGCCCAAAAAGTGTCAAAAATAGGCTGAGCAGCCCAGGGAGAATAGCAGAGCTCAAGAGCCAAGAGCAACACCTCACCTGGTGTTTTTTCCAGGAAACCTATAATTATATAGCACTTAGGTACTGAACAACCCCTTCTCCCTCTGCTTGTTTTTGTTCATTTTCTTTCATTTTGTTTTTGTTTGTTTTCAGGAGAACCGGGGGAGGAGGAAGAGAAAGGGATAGAAAAAACATTTCGTGATTTGATTTCAATTGCATTGCACTTTCCCTCTGCTTTTTCATGCTTGATGGAAGTGACACGTGCAAGTCAGAGAGAACAGCACATTTCACCAGCCTGAAAAATACTGCCTTGGGCCTCACCCAAATTTTCACCAGCTTTGCTGAAGTTGAATCAAGTCTTTTGAATAGCCAGAGCTGCAATCTGTGCTACCAGGGGTTTTAAGAACAAGGTATTATATGGCGACTCAAGTTTCAACAGTTTCAAATATTTTTAGCATGTTGATGGCCACCAGCACTGCTGAGCATCGTGCTCAGAAAGCAGCATGCAGCCCTTGCTGGTCCCTTGCAGAGCTTCCAAGCAGGAAACAGTAAAGAAATCAAGGCTCAAGAAGGAGACTTTTTGTCTCCCGGGTCTATAAATTATATGCAATACATTGGTAGAATCTGAAAGAATCTTAAAAACACATATGGAAACTGCCTGTTTTCCCCTCTTGCTCCTAACACATCAGCTCTGAATGATACACCTCCGAGGAGCTGCAGCTAAAACATGGTTGTTTATTCCATTATTTCCATCCGCATCTTATTTATTTAAGATCAAGACAAATACTACTCACATGCCTGCACTCCCAGCATTAATCATCTCCTGCATCCTGGGCTGCCAGTGACAGCCGTGCGTGGGTGGGTGGGCAAAGAGGTGGGCGTGTGCCTGTTGGAGCAGAGGTTTGCAGCAAGCCAGCCTGAATGTTCCCACTCAGAGCCTTCCCAGGGCCTTGCACAAGACTCCCTGTTTGGTTATAATTTAGGGTGTTTTTGTTTTTTTTGGTTTTTTTCTTTGCAAATTTTGTGATCGAGATACATCTTTTGTTTGGGTTCAGGGCTGAACCTCTCTTGGGATATGATGGGATAATTGTTTCCCTTTGGTGGAGGCTTGCACATCTCTGGTCTCTGAACACTTTTTTCAGCCTTGCCTCTACACCACGGCTGTAGCATCTTGGCACTGGGCTGCTCTCACCATGAGCCCTTCCTCTCCATTCAGAGCTGCTGAAAGAGCCTTGGCCACATCTAAATATTTGGGAACATTTGTTCCCACTCTACGGCACAAGGAAAAAGCTGCATGTCAGGGAACAAGGTCGGTACAGGGTGCAAACACCCAATCAACGTAGCCTTTGCCAACGTGGGTGTGTGAGCACAGGCCCAGCTGGCAACACCACTCACAGCAGGAGTTAAATCCATTTGGAGGAGTGAAAATACACTTGTTGCGAGGCTCCGCACTACCAGAGCCATGGGCACTGTCCTGCAGAGGGGAGGCAGCCCCCAGACACCCTATGATGGGGGTGGTGGTTTTCTCTCCACTGCCAGCAATTCTGAAACCAGCCCAAAAATCTTCCTTGAACATTTATTTAGTTTGAGAATGGCTGATTTAACTTCAAATCTATTTAATTATCAAATTATTTACTTAACACTGATATATGCCATTTCTAAACAAACGAAGGCAGCCAGAAATGCTTTTGACACTAGTAGATCTGCTTACCGTGAGCCTGATTAAATGCTCCTAAGTCAAACACCTCCATGAATCTGTGCATAGCCACACCTCAGTCAGTCCTTGAGATTAGACCCCAGTGGCAGTGAAAGCCTCATGGGGCATTATCCCACCTCTCTAATAGCCGAATGCTGGTTCGTATTTGTCTTAGAATGACAGATTCATTTACTT